ATATAATACAAAAAAGATAAAAAAGTCTGTTTTTGAAATATATTTAAAAAAATATAATATATAAAAAATATTTATATATAAAATCATATAATTATATACGTTTACTTATTTATACATTTTAATATTTTTCAACATATTTTAGAATATGAACGAAGCTACTTAATCCTTTTTTAGAGGATGAACGAAGATACTTAATATTTTTATAATTAATTATTCATATTTCATTAAAAATCAAAATATTAATATATACAAATTTCCATCTTATTAAAAAAATTATTTAAACAATAAATTTTTCTTATTCATATTGATTTTTTATATTAAAATAACTCAATAAAATGTACATTATTTATTTTTTCAGAATTATTCATGAAAGTGGATTTACACCTGAGGACTTTAAGCAGTATAGGCCCGTAGTGTATAGCAACACGATACAATCTTTAGTCGCTATTCTCAGAGCGATGCCAAATTTGGACATCAACTTTTCGACCAATGAGCGAGAGGTAAGTTGAAATGACATTTCTATTGAAAAACAGACTTTTCTTTAATAAATATTAATTTAATAGAATCCATAATATAATTGTTCTGAAAAATCTTATTTTTTTCTTTATTTCGTTATTGAAATAATCTTAATTTTTTAGATTTATGATACTCGATGATTATATTTTTAATAATCTTAAAATATTGTCCATTCCATATTAAAATTATTTATATAAATACTTATTGTAATAAATTATATTGAAATTCATAATTAATTAATAAAAATTAATAAACAATTAATGGAAATAAACGAAATGTAATAAGTATAATATTTAACAAAATTTATACCGTAAGTTTTTTGATAAATTAAATGATCTGAAAATGATTTGAATATTAAAAGACATTATTAAAAAAAAAGAATTATAAAATATATAGTATGATTTTGCTACATAAAATATCCAATTATAACATAAAAAAAAGCCCTAATAAAATGAAAAATTTTAATCTCTAATTAAATTTCATATTATCCGATATATACATAAAGATATATAAGATATATATTTATATATATGTTAAAGTGATATATAAGAAAATAAGAATTTTCACAATACAAACAATATAATATATTCATTATTTTCTCTATATATTATTTGGTTATTATTAGATTATTTATATGACTATTTAGGTACAAATTTATATTTTTATGAATGAAAGAAATGAAATCTAAATGAAAGTTTATATTATTTTTTAAATATTATAATAAATATTTTATTTAGATCTTTTTATCTATTTTTATATTTATATGTATTCAATATATTATTCATTCGAATTTTTATCATTAAAAAATTCAGTAATTTTATTAGTTCATAATTAAATATTATTCAATATTCTACATATAAAAAAAAAATAATTTGTTTATATAATTTTAAATAAATTTAAGAAAAAAATCTACAAAATTTTAAATAGGTACATAAAATTTCATAAAAGAATTAAATGAAAATCTTCTAAATAATCTTCTAAATAAGATGCAAGTAAGTAATAAGGTCTGTCGATTTGGAGAAAAGTCAAAAATTATCGATATTTCGACCACTTAAACGATCAATGCGCATCTCGTGGCGGTTTTTGAAACATTTTCTTCGACATATTTATTTATCGTGCAGCATCGCGTTATTTTAACAAGCTCATATTTTGAAAAATATGATGGGTTGCTTTGAATCGATTGATCTAACTTCTCGAATATAATATTTTTTAATCTTTTTTTTTTCTTATTCTGCTCTTTTTTTTGTGTTCTATTAAAACAGAAAAAACAGAAATAATTATAAAACAGAAAAAATTATAACAATTTTTAATTATTTATTTTTATTAGCATCATAAACAAATTTAAAAATTAATTTTCATGAATATTACTGATAAATTTAGATTACAAAGTAGAGTAGCTTGAAATTATGATTGCTCCCTTAAATAAAAATACATAGTCAGATATAAACTTCTTATCTGTTTTATTATTTATTCAGTCAGAATAGCTAATGACTTTTGTTAAAATTCCAATTTTATTTGTACTTTGAAGATATTTTACAATTTCAATATATTTTAGATATATATCAGATCGAATAGTTTGATTGGTATAATAATTATATATATATATATATAATTATAATTCTATAGTTTCTTGAAATGAAAAATTATTGATATCAATCAAAACTTATCAAATCTTTTCATTTATCTTATTGCGCTTAATTTATTAAAAATATAATTGGTAGACAATCTTATATAAACTTTGTCAAATTTTATTTTTATGATTATTTTATAATTATTTTGACAGAAACTCAAACTCAAAACTCTTATTTTCATAGTTTACTTTAATATTAAAAATTTTACTCTAAATTCTTTAATAGATTTCTTTGAATTTAATTATAATGAACAATTTAATTTTTAAATTTAATAAATTAATTATAATGATCTAGTCATCATAAATTACTAGTATTAAACATCTTTTATCTTTCTGATACTTGAAAATATATGAATAAAACTTATATAATATAAAATTTATAAAATATTTGAAGTAATTTATTGAATTTATTTCCTACTTGGTTTCTAATAAATCTATAAAATTTGTGTTTTATAGGCACAACACTTTATCAGGAAATTTTTCAATCTTTTTTTTTAATAATTAAATTAAATAATTAAAGTTTATATTATATAAATTTCTTTATCTAATTTTCAATTTAAAAATACTGTCTTCAGATTAATATGAAAAATATTATATTTGACTTGTAGAAGAAATCTCATATTTGAGTAATGAATAATAATAATAACAATAATAATGAATAATAATGAATAACAAGGAAATATTGTATTTTTTAGTAGCTTATTATACAAAAACAATTTATTCCTATTATTTGTTATTTTATATTGAATTATTTTGTTTTCTTTTTTTTTTATACTCATTTTGAATATTCATTTTAAATCAATTGGACTTCTTTTATTTGGTAAACTGATAAATTTATTTCTACTTTCATTGCATTTATCCATTTTTTTTGATTGAATAGCTTTTTATCAACTTTTTCATATTCATCATTACCATATATATATATAAAATCATGCATAAACTTATTAAACTTTTATATTAATTAATTCATATTCTACATTATCCTTACTTCTTTTCATTATATATTTTCATTTTCTTCTATATTCATTTGTTATGTTCTATTTTGATTTCTTTCATTTCTTTTTTCTATTTATCCATAGTTTTATTTATCCATTTTTCATTTATGCATAGCATATAATTAATTTCACTTTTATTGCTTTCAAATTGAAATAAATTTTTTTTAGAGAAATAACATTTCTATTATAAATAATTTGATAATTAATTTTATTATATTAGATTTATTAATCTATTTTTTTTATTTTTAGTATATTCAATAAATATTAATTTTTTCAATTTCTTATCTCAATTTTTATTTTGTTATATGTGCTATAGTTATATAATTAAATATTTTCAAATGACTTAAATCTGATTTTAGAAAAAGAATCTTTTTCTAAAGTCAAATTTTGTAATGTTGGTAAAAAATTTACTTAAAATATAAACTTATGGCAATAGTTTCTGTCTAAAATTTTGTAGGCAAAATATAATCAGAAGTATACTCAATAGTGTATTTCTGATTCCTTCTATAATAAATCTATTTTTTTTTTATCATTTTAGTAGCATATAAACTAGATAAAAATATAAAATATAAATAAAAAAATAAAAAAAATATAAACTATATATAATACATAAACTATATAAATATTTATTCATTTAAAAAATTTTAGAAATTTTTCAGAATTTTTAAAATTTTTTTATTATCTAATCTAATAGTTTTTCATTTTCTATTCTGTTTATTTTTTATCATATTTTTATACATCTTGAACCAATTTTTAACTTCAGATTTTTTTTTCAAAAATATACTATAATACACATGAATGTAAAATAATATCTTTTTTGATTGAGCAAATTTTCATTAATTCACACAAATCTAAATGCACATTGATCTTTTTATCTTTCTTTTTAATTCTTATATCAAAAATTATTATCCTTCAAATTAACTTTATTGCTTAAAACTTTATATACTTTTTTTGATTACACATTCAGTTGATACATTTTATCAATTTTCGTTGTTGTATCAATCAAATTAAATAATTAATTTTATTAAAACTTAAATTAAATTTTAAATAAATCAACTTGTTTAATAAAATGATATTTTACTTTTACGATTTTATTTTCAATTTTGATACAAATAGAATATGTTTTAATAAGTTTATGTATTTAAGATATATGGTTTCCTAAACTTCCAATTGTTATAATCTTCTTTTTCTTTTTCTTGTTTATCAATAAGAAATTGTCATTTTTTTACTAAAACTGATTTATGATTTTTTTTATCATAAGATTTAATTTAATACATCCAGTTGTAATTATTCGTAACATTTGAAAGTTATATTTTACGATTTATTTTTCTTTATTATAAATTAAACAAATCTTTGACATAAAATAATTAAGAGAACATTATTTATTAAGAACAAGATTTGTGAAGCGATCGAGTAACTTAGCCTTTATTTTCAACAGTTCGTATACCATCAATAGCCTAACAATAATTTATGTGCAGGCATGATTTTCCTAACGTTTTCTAGATCTCTAATTTAAACAAAGATATCACAGCCACTTCACGAGTTATATTTGCACGGATCAGGAGTTATACATGCAATGGATCACCGTGAGAACAAGCACAAAGGTGCTTGTTTTTTGATCCCCACACTTTGCGACGTGACTTCACGAAGACCCATCCTTCGAGGTCGCCCTCCAGCGCAATTATTGGTCCCTTCAATTTTCTCTCTGTATGGATTTTTCAGGAAAAGCAAGGATTGGAAAAAAAGGCTTGCGATAATTTTGTAATAGAATTGATATAGAAATAGAAACTAGGATAGAATTCGATGACAATATAGTATATATCAAAATATTACAATCATTACAGTTAATCTCAAAGAGTCAAAGTACCACCATTCGTTTATCGAGAGCTCATAATATGAACGAATATACAATCCTATAATAAATAAACCTTTTTGATAATAGGTGATCCTTCGTAACATCAGTTTAGACACCCCATTTGTGCAATATTCAAAGTCGTTCATCATTTTTGACTTTAACATTATTTATTTTTTTAATTAACATTATATATTTTTTTCAATAATTTTATCTTAATATTTGTGCCTAAATTTTTTTGTGTTTAAAACAGAAAATTAATGATGAAAAAATTATAATGATTTTTAACTATTTATTTTTATTAGTATCATGGATAAATAAAATTAAAGATTAATTTTTATTAATATTATTAAACTAAATATATTAAACTGTAAATGTTAAATATATTTTTTTTCTAACATTTATTAGAATATTAGAAAATTTAAATTCTAAATTTGAATTCATTTTTTAACATGTATTAGCAAATTAAATTCAAATTTGTGAAATTTTTAATGTACAATCTATCAA